GGAGCCCCAGCTTGGGAGAGCGGTGTTCTCCACTGTGCCTTGAACCTGCGGGCTCTTTGCAGGCAGTGAGGTCCCAGCCCCGGAGCTCTCCCTGTGTGTTGGGAAGGAGGGTTCTGCCGGACCCCGGCTGCATCACAGCCTGCCTTAAGTTAGGTGGAACTTAATTCTCCTCCTCTCAGGTGTGCATCGGACTTAGTGATGCTAAGGAAAAGAATAAATCAGAAGTCAGGTCCTAAAAAGCACAGCAGTTCCTTGTTCCCTGCTGGGTCGGGAGGACACTCGAGCAGCGTCTCATGAGCCCCACAGAGCAAAGGACTGAGGTCTCCTGCCTGCACCCAGAGCGTGCATCGTCCTAGAAGAGCGTCTTCACCCCAGCTTCAGCCCTCTCATTCCGCAGCATCTCCCCCACTAGCTGCAGGCTCACGAGGGCCCCTGAGCCAGGCCGCCTGGCTGAGCTTCTCCCCAAATCCTGACCCTCAGAATTGTGAGACAGCAGATGTCTGGAGTTTTAGGTCACTCAGCAGTAGATAACTAATGCACCCGCCAAGACGCTCTGCTCTGTTGCCCATCTGCTGACGATCACCAACGGGCACCACAGGTCTTTAGGGGACAGCAGCCTGGCTGAGGGAGGCTGTCGTGCTCCTTAGTCAGTAAAACTTGTGGAGCACTTGAAGCATATTCCCAGCCTCAGCCACTGCAGTCTTACTCAGTAGGTCTGGCTTGGGGTCCAAGCATCTGTACCCAGCTAAATGATGTTGTTAAAGGAAGAAAGAAAGCTATTCAAGGATTTCTGAATGCTGCTTTTGGTTGAGAACTGCTGTACAAAGCCACAGGGCTCTCTATTCCGTGTCCTGTCTTCGAGGGCAGGCTGTGGGGCACTCTGGTCACAGTACACAGGTCCCATCCAGCCCTTAGGACCGCTTTGCCTTAGGGGCTCGAAGATCACCCTCCTCCACCTGCGGGGCGTTGGTTTCACCTTCAGGGTGATTGCTGGCCACACCCATCGTTCCTGATGAAGTGGATCTGGGGACGGAACTGGTGATGTGCATTCTGAGGATGTCCCTTGGTGCTGCCAGGTGCTCACGTGGAAACCACCAGGAAAAAGGACCAGACTCGGCCTCGGAAATAGTCCAGTATCCTCCTCCACTCAGACAACTGCAACAAATGAAAGGAGACAAAAACTCATCCTCCTGGTCAAAGCCAAAGTGGCCCATGGTGGCCGAACTTGCAGGAGTGGTTATTTGGGAGGACAGTCACCAGAAAGTAGACACGGGGCTGCCGACAAGCTTGCGGTGTCCTACCCCTTCATCCGAGTGGTGGCAACACAAATATATTTGTTTTGCAACAACACATTCAAGCTGCACACCCACAATTTGGACAGGTTGCTGTTTGCATGTGTACTTTATAAAGCCCACTTAGAAGTTAATAGTAGTGACAGACGCTGTCAAAGTCTGAAAGTAGTGGCCCCCCATCACGAGACTGCCCCTGTTTGGTTTGTGAATCTGCTTCCTCCTAGAGACATGTTGGCAACCCAGCGGACAAAAGTCTTTATCCCTTTTCGCTGGAGGTGTGTGTGTGTGTGTGTGTGTGTGTGTGTGTGTGTGTGTGTGTGTGTGTGATATCCGGGGAGAAGCTACTTCCCCAGCTGTCATTTCCTGAAAAACAAGTCCAGGTCTTCAAAAGAAAATACCATAAGTGAAGTATTTGCATTTTTTAAATTTCTAGAGTAACAGCTGTAGGTAGAATAATTTGAAAAGCAAATTGAGCGCTCTTTAATGCTTTTGGGAATCCTAGCTTTTCTTCTGCATGGGACGCTACTGAAGAACAAGAACTTTGGAAGGAAGGAAGAAAAACCCAGACTGTGTTTGCCCATTTCTTTGCAAAGCACCAACTGGCAGGAGATATTTTTTTCTTCTGGACTAAGACAGATATCACCTGCGAGACCTTCTTTCGCCACGTTAAACCTTCCGAGTCTAACTGGGGAGACCTGTTTTGCAAATTTCTCAAAGAATGCTGATTATTGCTACAACTCCTCCAGAGGCAAACCACTTTCCGAGTCATTCCTTTCCTACAATTTAAGTTTGTCATTTAAAAGGTTTACTTGCAAAAGCTGACTTTGGACGTTAACGAGGCCAGGTGCATGCCAACATCTAACTTTCAGGCCATCTGCACGGTTGCTATTTTGCAACTCAGGCGCTAAGGTAGTATGATGGCCATGAGGTTGATGATGGATATGAGGCTTTGGGGGCTGGAGAAGATGGTGTGCAGAGGTTGCCTTGCTATTGAACGTCATCCGATCTAAGGCACAGATATTGAGTACAGGATTTGAATCCATAATCTTTTAAAAAAAATTTTTTTTGAGACAGCATCTCTCTATGTAGTTCAGGCTAGCCTTGAACTCTCAGTGATCCTCCTGCCTCAGCCTCTGGAGTGCGTGTATCACAGGCGTGCGCCACCTCACCTGACTGAATCCATAACCTCCTAAGTCTACTGGACATGGGTTGGAATCCCAGCAGCCCTCACCATGTGGACTTGGGTAAATGACTTCTTTCTCTTCTTCCAAACCCTAATTTTTTTCTTCTGTCAAATGGGATTAATAATAACAGTCACAGAACCAGTAGGAACATTAGATGTAATAATATAAAAGGATTTAAAACTTTGCCTGGTATGTAATAAATTCTTAGTGGGTGATAGCATAATTATGAAGGGATGAAAGGAAAGTAATAAATGGATAATTTTTATTCAGTTTTGAATTTCCCAATCCTTATATCTTTCTCTCTCAATATGAATAAATAAATATACTTATCTATATGTACACATGAATGAGTAAATAAAATAGTTTCCCTGGAATAAAACGTCTGTCTAAAAGTTATAACTCTGATTGCACATGGAAATAGTACCAAGAATCAACAAATGTGATTATATCAAATTAACACAGCAAAAGGAACAACCAACAGAGTGAAAAGAAAACCTACAGAATGGGAAAAACATTTTTGCCAGCTATTTCTCAGAGAACTAATATCTGGACTATACAAAGAACTAAAATAATGGACTCTGCAAATTTAAAGACCCTATATAAAGCGGGAATCTGAAATGAATAAACACTCCTCAGATGAAGAAATACAGATCCAGGTATGTGCATGGAGAAATGTTCCGTATCACTGGCCATGAGAGAAATGCAAATAAAACAACACTGAGAGTCTGTCTTAACCCAGAAAGAATGGCTGTCATCAAGAAATCAAATAACAAATGCTGAGGAGGCTGCATTGTTGTTGGAACTGAACTAGTACAACTACTGTAGGAATTAATGTGGAGATTCCTCAAAAAACTAAAACTGGAAACTCCATTCCACCCAGCTATTCCCCTTCTAGATGACATTCCAAAAGTTACAGACATCATATTCCAGTGACACGTGCATACCTGTGTCTGTAGCAGCATAACTCATAATAGTTAAATCTTGAAATTGGCTTATATGTCCATCAGCAAATAAATGGACAAAGAAAATGTGGTATTTACACATAAAGGAGTACTCCTCTGCCATAAAGAAAGATGAATCTGAGTCTTTTGTAGGAGAAAGAATGCAGTCTGAGACCACAATATTCGGTGGTTTCTCTTATATGAGAAACTCAAAATATAAATAAAGACCAAAATAAGAAAGAGATGGTAGATGGTAGATCAAAGTAAGGAGATAGATCTTTCCAACTAAGAAGGGGATCAAGATGGAGAGAGGGATGGGGAGAGGAGAGAAAGGGACTGAAAAAAGAAATTAAGATGTGTTATGTACATGTACCAACTAAATGCAAGGAATGTAAACATTATGTACTGCAAACAATAGATAGATGATTGCCAGGTAGGTAGATAGATAGACAGATAGTAGGTAGATAAATAGTAGGTAGATAGATAGATAGCAGATAGATAGATATAGCAGGTAGATAGATAGTAGGTAGATAGTAGATAGATAGTAGATACATAGGTAGATAGCAGATAGATAGTAGGTAGATCATGGCTAGATAGTAGATAGTAGGTAGATAGTAGGTAAATAGCAGATAGTAGGTAGATAGATAGTAGGTAGATATTAGATGGAGAGCATGTCGATGATCCCAGTGGGCAGTGGCTGGGCATGTGACTATACAGGCCTTGCTGGGGGAGATCTTGGTGATGACAGCCCAGCTCTGCATCTGGATGGCTCTGTGCTTACTCAGAGCTGCGCGTGGTAACATGGCCCAGAGCTGTGCACTCCCACTGTTCCAGTGGCAGCTTCCTGGCTTGGCACTGTCCTGTAGGTGCAAAATACAGCTGTCCTGGCAAAGTGGGAAGAGGGTGCAGCGACCTCTGTGGACCATCTGTGCTACTCCCTGTCCCTCTGTGATTGCTTCCAAGTTGGAAAGTGTCTTCCTAGAACTCTCTCCTTTCCTCCAGGCTCAGTAAACAGAGCTGTCCCTGCCTCTCCAGTGATAGTGATAGATAGTTCTGAGTTTCGCATGGGCTTTGGTGTCTGACTTTAGGTATAAATCGCAGTTCGCCTTTCCCGCTGTCACCCTCCCCAGGCCACGCCCCCTTCACCACAGGGCCTCATGTGCTGCAGACAAGGCTCCCCGAGGACATGGAATCCCATCTTTGTATTCTAAAGTTTTCTCAGTTGAATACTGAGCAGGAGGCTGAAGCAGATGGCTCGCTTGGTTTATTTCTGGCAGTGCCAGGAGTGTGCTGTTGATGCCCTCTTTGGACTGCGTGAGTCTCAGCTCAGTGCACGGGTCTCGATGCAACACTGCAGTCAGCCCATCAGCTGAGTGGCGGGAAAGCAGCTTCTGTGACTCAGGTAAGGGTTGCACAGCAAGGCTCCCAGGCGTGAGCAGAGCCATCACTGAGGGTGGACTCGTGAGTGTACGAGTGCAGGATGAACAGTGGCACGGTCTCCATGGAGGCGTGAAGCCTTAGGTCAGGTTTGGGTGAGCAGCTCCACAGGGGCAGCGTTAACCTCCCTCTCCTTGTTCCTCCAGGCAGTTTGAGATCCACTCCCCAGACACCAAGCACACGGTGGCCCTCAGGAGCAAGGACTCAGCCACCGCCCAGGCCTGGTTCAGCGCCATCCACGCCAACGTGAGCGACCTGCTGCCCAGCGTGATCAGCGAGGTCAGAGAGCAGCTGGGGAAGGTGGGCCTCGTTGGGGGTCATGAGATTCGGCACCTGGGCTGGCTCGCCGAAAAGGTAAGGATGACGTCTCCTTCCTGTGCAGTCCTCTTTCATGAGGTCCCGGCCGTGACCAGCGAAGTCACTCGCCAGGGCCCAGTGCTCTCATGCACAGCCTCTCCGGGTTTCTGGTCTACTCCAGCTGACAGCCACCTTTCGCGCCATGTGTGAGTCTGTCTTCATCACACTGATCCCCAACCCGCTGTCAGTGCGTGGCAGGTCGCACACAGCCACTGGTTGTGGAATGGATGGAGAAGCGAACTGATGAGGATTTGAGTTCCCCAGCTCTGTGTGAAAGGCAGTCAGAGCCGCTGTGGGGAGACTGGAAGTTGATGCTATTGATGAGACGCAGGTGTGTGATTTTTCATGGGTCTGCTTGTTAATCACTCGATCCTCTAGGGATCATTGAGTTAACTGACCCACGGTAGCTGGGATAGTAACAGCAAGGGTTTCTTGCGAAGTTCCTCTGTGCTGATGTTCTTGTGTCATCTGCCTGTCTGTCCTCCGTCCTCTGCAGCCGGCCTGGTCTGAATGTTATCACTAACCAGCGCGTTTCAGGGGAGGCAGGAGCAGGGACGGCTGCATTCACAGAGGATGAAGGCAAAGTTCCTGTCTCGGGGCGGCAGCCGAGTGGGAGAGGGTTTGCATCACAGTAACACCGTCCCTGCGACTGATTTTCCCAAGATGGCAGATATGTTGGCGACAGTACAGCTCTCTCTGTGACCACCTCTTGAGAGTCAACCTTTCTCCTCTCAAAACGGCGAGCTTCTGCCGCTGTGTGTACATCTGAGTGCTGTCCCTTCGACTGGACCTTAAGTGCCAGGGAACAGTTTGACTTTGTGGCTTTGTGGACAGTTTGACCTCCTCGTGAGCCGCATTGTAACAGGCAGTAAATGGAAACAATGATTGTAGAAATGGTAGCTTTCCAGCCAAGGAATCTGTCATCAGAGAAGCCCAGTCAAATGGGTCCCTGAAATTCTGCTTGAGCACAGCACTGGACTGTCTCCACCGTTGTTCTCTGTTTGTACCAGCGCTTGCGTGGGGCTGGGCCACAAAGGTTGATTCAGAGTAGGGTGCTGGGTCTGGTGTTGTCTCTCATGGTTCCAGAGGATCGAAGGGATAACATTGAGAGCAGGAGAATCAAAATGATAAGAAATATGAACTACGGACAGCCTTTCGTGGATTTACCAATTAGGGTTCTTGATAAAAGCAGCAGCACAAATCTAGATGACTGATAGATTTTTTTAAAGTCAAGAGTTGAACACTCTACTTTTTACTCGTTCCAAATACATATTTTATTAGGATAGGGACTACTAGTTATGAATCTTTCAGATGCAAGACAGAAAGCACAACGCAGCTTAGTTGGAGCAAGAAGAGGGCGGGCAGCCTCTGATAACCACAGTATCCGAGAGTGGCCCCCGGGCATGGGGGACCCAGAGATACAAATACCAATGCTCTGTGCACTTCTCCATCTTTCGGTTCCCCTACCACTGCCTTGGGGTCTCCTAACCAGGCCCTCTTGACTTGGCCTGATAATTCAAGGTCTGTGTCTGTTTCCCCCTACACCTGGCTCCCTCTGCCTAGAGACCCTTCACCCCAGTCATTCCAATGCAAATGCTGAGATGAAGTCTAACGAAGCTCACTTGGCTGTGTCCAGCCCTGGTGGGTGCTCAGGTCAGCCTCACCAAATCTTGTGCAGGGAGAGATAAAAAGGAGTGGTTCTTGTATGGAAAAGTAGGCTGCTGAGCTAAGAATGAATGAATCCTAGAAAGGTGAAGGCAATAGACGTTCACTATAGAGGAACAAGGAGAGGAGCTGATTTTTTTTGGTACAGGGGCTTGAACTCAGGTCCTTGGGCTTACAGGCAGGCAGCAGGACCACTGAGCTAAATCCCTGGCCTGAGAGGAGCTGATTTTGATGAAAAATGTCCCCTCTTGGTTAAGGTTCTGGGAGGTCCGAGTGGTCCAGTAGGAGATGTGGGAAATTCGAAAGTGGTGACTGGAGGGAGGGATGAATGCAGGCATCGTTCCTAAGGTGTGGGCAAAGTAAAGGGAGTGGCTAGGGAAGGAGAGGAGCCCAGGGCTGACAGTGGCCGTGACATCACTGTTCTGGGGTTGGGAAGGAGCGACAGTCACCTGAAGCCAGTGGGCCTTTTGCTGTGGGGAAGCACTGTCCACTACCTGTGGCCACTGCTGTCCTGCTGGTGGCTCCCGATGGCGGAAGCTGGGGCCAGGGGGACCCACGGGTGCTCTGTGAAGGTGGGTGAGGGTCCCGGGCGCCAAGGATGGAGAATCTGGAGGGCACGCGGCACAGCCCCACTGTCCAAGGGACTGGGGTGGTCGTTGGCCAGGCCCCTTTCTCCCCTCTTCAAACGCAAACTGTGTTTGAAACCATCACCATTTAGACAGCTGAGGAATGAAACTGTGTCATCATTAGTGACGTCTGGTTCTTCCAAACGTTCCGTCTTTTCACTTATAAACTGTATTAGACCTTTGGTTGATGCCGCATATTAGTAGACATGTTGTTAGATGCTCGCATGGAGCAGTAGTAAAGGCAAACAAAACCTCGCTCTGTTGCACGTGAGCATCGCAGGAGCTTCCTCCACTGTTTTATCCAGTTTATCCATAACAGCTGATCAGGGACAGTTATTAGAAACAAGAATGTCCTGTAGGGTGTCCATCTTCAAACTTAAAAGATTACCATAGATCAAATCCAAGGGAACAAATCTATACCGGAATTTTAAAAAGTATTTAATACTGAATCCTGACATGGAAAAATATGAATGGTTTTTGACCAAATGTTACAATGAATGGCAAATCCCTAATCCTGTGCCTTTCTTATATTATCACAAATATCAGCGACTTTTCCTGGTATTTGTAAAGATATGAAATGTGATCCCATATCTGTTCAGCTGTGATTTACCTTAAATTGATGTCCTTGGTCTTCTCCTGTACTGTTAAGCTTTGCCTTTGTAGATTAATAACCAGAGTTCTGTTATAAGACTACAGATCCTATTTAATTCCAAGCTTTTAGAAGTGGGATCTACATGAACTAAAATAATATGAAATAATAACATGAACTTCCTTTCGAAAATCTTGTTTAGTGCAAATCCCAAAACCTCCTTGACTCCCTGTAACATCCGCATTTTTCTTCCCTGTGACGGAGTCTGGAGAGCTGAAGAATGGCTCCCGGGAAGTGTCCAGGTCTCCAGGGACTGGAGAGGAGGGGCCGGCTGCACTCTAGGAGAGAAGGAGAAGGAGCCAAGAGGAGGCTGAGTCAGGGCAGCCTGGGGAAAGGGCAGAGGCCGGGCAGAGGCAGCCTGCAGGTTCGGGTCCACCCAAGAGGGGGCGATGAGCACATCTGTCGCTGCTCCTCAGAGCGGGGCAGGCTGGTCCACATGTGACACGGTGGACAGGTGGAGGCTTCCTGCACCACATCAGAGGGCAGGAGACTTAGAGTGCCTGCACTCAGCCTCTCCTTCTACAGAAGAGGAATCTGGGGCCCGAGAATGGACGAGTTTGCATCACCACAGAGATTATTAGAGTAGACGTTTGCTGTGTGAAGTCCTTATGTCTTTCCTTTAACGTTCAAAAGAACCCGCGGCTCATCCGCTGCCTCACCTGTGTGCTCTCCGTGAGCCTCAGCCTTTCCATGGACACTGCAAGGTCAAAGTCAGTGAGCCCTGGAGCGGGGGGGAGCCCTGACCCTTGTTGCTCTGACCATGGTCCTGGGCACGAGCACACCCCCACCCATGCCAGCCCCTGCAGCTCCTCTCTGGGAACTGTCACCCTGGACAGCCCACGCACATCATCGGTGAAAAGCCTTCCTCCCAAGTGGCCTCACATGCCCTAGGCCTTTGTGACCCCCACCTGACCCTGCGGGTCCTCCCCCCACCCCCAACTGTGAAATGCTTCAAGCCCCCAAACACGTTTTCTCAGCCATTGGTTTTGAATCTTTTCAGTTATCTGTGCACTAGGACCCTTTCAGTGGGCCCATTTCAGGCAATTTGAGAAAAACAAGCTAAGTTCTGACTCCCTGGCTTTGCAGAAAAACGGTCACAAATGGGGGCCTGGCTGAATCAGGGAATCAGTTGGCTTTGTGCTTTTCTGCTTTGCCTCGGAATCCCCATTTGCAAATGATTTCTTGACAGATTAAAAATGCAAAACCCCAGCCCAACAAAACAAAGGCCAGGTGGGAGCTTGGAGAACCCAGTTCGGGGTTCAGTGCTCCTCGTCCCCGGTTTTGGTTCTTTCCAGCACCAGCAGCAGCACCAGAGGTGACCCTGGAGGAAGGATGCGGTCACTCCTGTTGGTCACGTGCTTAGTCTGTTCCGGGCAGCATGTTTTCAGAATCCCAGTCCTGTGTGGAGGCTGTGGAGAGGCTGAGTAGTGGTTCTAAGCTCTCTCCTCATGCGCGGCAGAGCCCAAGTTTGACCTCTTTCTGTGTCCAAAGCCAGCACTTTCCACTCAGCCGAGCTGACAAGGGGCCCAAGGAGTGAGTGAGGCTTCCAGATCCACCTCTGTGCAGATCCCAGGACCCAGCGCCAGCACTGAGAGATGTGGAATGCTCTCAGATTCTCTGCCTGGAGTGGGGAAACAGAAGGAAGAGCCAAGCCCACTGAGCCACATTTTCCCTTCACCATATCCATCCCATGTCTTCATCCACTTTCCTTCCTCTCTGACCCCATGAGAAGGTGTCACTGACTCTCCTCTCTTCTTCCCTTCCATTTTAGACAGTGCCATTCCATCAGACCTCCCTGGTTAGGTCCCTTCTTTACTAACAACCATCCTTCTCTCCTCTTTCTTCCTAATTTTGTACTATAAAAGTCCAAAGAACAGGTCTTCCAGAGAATGAAGTCATCTTTGATAGAACAGGTTAAGGGAAGACAATCTGTACACGCATGCACACACACACACACACACACACACATACGCGCGCGCGCGCACAGTTGCCCTTGCTTTGCACATTCTCATTACCTAGGAGCTTCAGAAGCCATGGTAGATATAACGTGAATAAAA